ACATTTTATTAGGGGCTCATACAACTGTTATCCCAATCCATACACACATCAATTGTGTAAAGCGTATTTGTACATCATTTCTCAAAACATTTTCTTAACAAACGGTTAAAATGCCTGGGGATATCTGTAAGTTGGAACATAGAAGCCCAGTGTATAAGCTGACATAGAAGCCCAGTGTATAAAACGGGTATAATGAGAGTCATCTTGCTTAAAGCAGGGATGGGGACCAGGTCCTTCTCACTTAGCTTCCCTTACTGCTCAGCAGCGTCCCGTGGTGCCTTCATAGAACAGTAGCGTTCAAGGGACATATTTGGAGATCACTTCCAGAAACGAGCTCTTTCAGTTCTGTGCTGAGAGCCTGATGAAGGCCCAGTCTGATGGCCCATTGAAACCATTGCTGTTGAGTCTACTCTCACTCAGGGAAGGACTGTCCCATCAGTTTCTTAGACAGTAATCTTTACAGAAGCAGACAGCATCATTCTCTTGAGTAGTGGCTAGTAGGTTCAAACAGAAAGCCTTCTGGTTAGCCACTGTGTTAGTCTGGGTACATTAGAGAAACAAATCCACAGAAACTCATATGTATAAGAGAGAGTTTTATGTAAAGGGTAAGTACACATCAAGAAAACATCCCAACCCAGTGCTACCCAAGTCCACAAGTCCAACATTAATGCATATGTCTGACACCAATCCACAAACTCCTCTTCCATCTCACAAAAGACAATGACGCTGACTGCAGGAGGACAGCTGAATCAGTGAGTGTGTAAGCATCTCCACACAGTTGCTCCAGCACCCAGGGCTGCATCTGGGTAGGTCCATGGGGCTTCTCCTTGGAGATGTCTTGCAGTAAGTGAGCCTTGCAAGCTGAAGCAGGGAACTGGTTAAGGCAGGTGCACCCTGGTCCAACCATCAGAAAGCAAGAGACCAGAGAACTAGAAAGGCAAGGCTCACTGAGCCATTTAACGCTCTCCACTTCAGTTAGCCCCACGTGTGTTTATCGGCCAGGTTGGCATAATAAACTTTAACAATATCAGCCACTGAATACTTAACCTGATGGCAACATACCCTAAAATCCTTGAGAGCCAAACTTTAACCAGCCCTGATATTGTAAACCTAAAACTACAAAGTCACACTGAAGGTATGAGTCCTAGCTTGAGCAAGGATCTAAATCACCAGAGGTGAAACTAGAACAAGATCTAGGACCTTCTGATTGTAGGTTTAGTGTTTTCCCACAGGACTTCACCATTTTCAAACATCTAATTGTGTTGTCTTTTTCACTTGTCTCTAGTTTCTTGGAAATCTATAATGAACGGGTACGGGATCTGTTGAAGCAATCTGATCAGAAAAAATCCTACACCTTGCGGGTCAGGGAGCATCCAGAGATGGGGCCCTATGTACAAGGTGAGCCACTGTGATCTGAGACCAAACTGAAGCCTGGGATCCTCTGCTAACCAACCAGCTGCCATCAGTTCAGGCTCAGGGTATGACCCCATGTGTGTCAAAGCAGTACTATACTCCATGGAATTTTCAATGGAATCAGCAGTTGACCAATGGACCTTTTCCTCCCCCTTATTCCCTGTTTTATTGCTTGTTTTGCTTTGTAGTACTTAAAACAAGAATTTTTTTTTCTTCTTAAGCTGTTTAATATAAGCTCCTCTGTATTCCCTCGCTCCCCCACCCTACCACCCTCAGGAACCCTCAATATATTATATATTATTATTTTTACATATCTTACACTGATATATCCCTTCACCTGCAATTCCGATATTTGTCACCATCATTGCTAGCAGTTCCCCCCCCCCACTTACCCATACCCTCATGGGATTGTTACCCCCGTTACTATTTCTAAGGGTTTGTCTATCCTGAATTCCACGTATCAAAAGCTCTTATCTGTACCAATGTACATACACTGGTCTAGCAGGATTTGTGAGGTAGAACTGAGATCATAATAGTTGGGGAGGAAGAGTTAAAGAACTAGAGGAATATTGTGTGTTTCGTTGGTGCTATACTGAACCCTGGGTGTATCATCCCTTCCATGTGATCCTTCTGTGAGGGAATGTCTGATAACGAACAGATGGGCTTTGCATCTTCATTCTGACCCCTCTCCTTCACATCTATGTGATTGTAAAACAAGAATTTATGAATTAATTGTTCAGCTGTGTGAGAAAAAATAGGGCACATATTTAAGTCTCAAATCAAATTGTTAAGCACTACTTACTGGTGGGCACTGCACCTTTTCTGAAGTGCCTCTGGGGAGATTCACACCATCAATATTTCATTTAGCAGCCAAGTGCTTAAATGTCTGTGCCACTCAGGGGTTTCAGAAGCTCTCCTGATGTGCACTGTTTCACTCAACAACAATATAATGGGCATTAACTATGTGCCAGGTTCTAGGTTTCTGGAAGTCAATTTACTTTCTCAAACCATGATGAAAGAAATAGGCATTCCTTTCATTTCTCGAAGGAGCCATAGTTCAACTAGTATACCTAAAACAACACCCTGTCATTGAGTTAATACCAACTTATAGCAACCTTGTAGGATAAAGTAGAACTGTCCTTTTGAGTTTCCAAGGATATATATCTTTATAGGAGCAGAGAGCCACCATCTTTCTCTGGTGGAGTGGCTGCTGCTGCTAGTGTCAAACCGCTGACCTTGCAGTTAGCAGCCCAACTTGTAAATCCCTAGGGCAGGGGTCAGCAAACTTTTGAGATAGAAGAGCCAATCCCGTTCCTCACAACAATTTAAAATTATTCGAGAGCCATAAATATATTTTTACAAACAAATGAAATCACTATTATCTGAATAATACACTATACAATTTTTCACTTTTACTTCAGAGCCACAAGTACACACCAGAAGAGCCGCATATGGCTCTAGAGCGGCAGTTTACCGACCCATGTGCCAGGCCATCAAGACACCTTTCAACTAGTGTAGACTAAGAAGATTGACATGGGAGTGGTCCAGTCTCCCCTAACTTTACAAGGGGAAAAGGAAAGACCCACCATTAACTGCCATCAGTTACCCAAGGCCATTTCTATGAAGCTAAGGCAAGACATGCTCCACCCTCCAACCTTCCTGCCTATTCTGACGCTAACTGTCCCTCCCACAGCTCTTCTTTTTCAGCTGGATTCCATTGCACTGGTGTGCAATGATCGCTCAGAGCTCACAGACAATACTTACCATTATGAGGTTACAGATTCTCAGGATGCAATTATTCAGACAGGACAGCCTCTTCTCAGCCACGCCTATAGGCAGCCTCTCCCTGGTCTCTGGTCTTTAGCCTCTCAGCCAATTGGTCCATTGGCCTCTTCCCTACTTGTGCAATATTACAAAACTCTTTTATGGCTGCTATTAAGTACTCAGAAGATACCACTTCACTGTAAGCCTTACCCTGAAAGTGCTCAACTCTGGCTCCCACAATTGAAGTACTCAGCTTTACTCTCGGCTAGGAAGTTCACCACTCTTTCTCATGCTCTGGTTCTCGATCTGCTGCTGCTATACCTCTGGCATCAGATCTGTCTTTGGATCAAAGAATTTCAAAGCACAGGGATCTTGCCATCCAAAGAATAGAATCCAGGATCCCACTTCCACAATTTTCCAGTAATAAAATTCCCCACACCCGAGATGGCTCATTTTATACCCAGAAGGATGTCTATCACAATGAACCATGTACACCATCACTCACAGCTGCATCGTATAATATATATCTTCCCAAAACTTCTTACCCATACGTGTCAGGAAAAAGTATCTGGTGGGAAGAACGAAGAATCTGACCAGAAGAGCCATGTTAAATAACTCACTGCCCTGCAGAAGCTAGGACCTCAACGAATCACAATGAACCGCGTTGTTCCAATTAGTACTCTCTGATGGCATTATAGCAATTTATTTAAAGATTTTTTTTCCTTTATTCATTCATCTATATATGTCTATTATCTCATGAATTCTGTAAATTTGACTCTAATGTAGAAGATGGTTTCTGGTTTCAAACCAATTCTACCCATTTGTTGAGTGCCTATGAAATTTAGAGTGCCATGTGTTATATGATTATCACCATAGAAACCCTATACAGGTTGCTGTGAACAGGAATAGGCTCAATAGCTGTGAATTTGTGTGTGGGGGTTTTTGTTGTTGTTTGAAGCATATTAACATATAAGGCCCAGTTCTAGTCCTTAAAGAACTTGCAGTTCCAGTTCAGAATCGTGATATGAAACTTGGCAGTTGTCTAAATCCAAAGTAAAGAAACCCACACCCTTTATCATTGGGCCTATATGTTGGGTCTTTGAGACTCTTGGATACTCAGTCTTTACAGGAACAGACAACCACATCTTCCTACCATGGAATACCTGATGACTTGAACTACCAACCTAGCAGCTAGCAGGTCAGCACCTAACTCACAGTGTCACAAGGGTTTCTTAAGGGAAGGCAAGAGGTATCCTATTACTTTCCAGGAGAAGTTTGCTTAATGATTAGATGAGGGATTCAGATGAAATTTGAAATGTAAAGGACCCTCCCTTTACACACATGAGAGATGAGTGGCTACAGGAAGCTGATACCTAAGTGAGAGAAGGACAGTATGGTGTGTTGCTTTGGCCTTTGTTTCAGTACAGAGACCAGTCCGAGTACAAAGCAGGGCATGCTGGAGGTATAGGTAGTTGGGACTCTGAAAAAATTATTTTGTATAGAAGTTTTTGTTTCTTTTTAATCCTTTTTCCCCTTTCCTTTCTGCATTGACTAGGAGTACAGTATTTTTTTCCTTTTAAAATTTTATTTTTCTTTCTTTTTTTTAATTGCTTTATTAGGGGCTCATACAACTCTTATCACAATCTATACATACATCAATTGTGTAAAGCACATTT